ACAACAACAACTGTTACTTGCACGTTTATTGGGGTCACCATTCACGCCACGGTAGCCCCTGAATGAGGCTGGGGCTGGTCTTCATGTGAGGCTCAGCTGGTTGGCTTTCCAAGTGCACTGTTGACACTGCTGGGCAAAGGTCCAGTGGGACGGTGGTCTGCAAGGCCGGTAAGGTGGGAGAGTGACCCCCCAGGACATGCAGACCCTCATCCTTTCAGGAATGCTGGGCGCTGGCCTTTGCGCTCACAGAGCTCATTTGCTCGGGGCAGTACTGGTGACTGGATCTGAGGACAGTGCCTGCTAGTGCCCAGTCTTGGTCCTGGGGGTGCCAGTCTGAAACTGGGGGCATCCCACTTGGTGGTTTCTCAGGAGGCAGCATCAGCTGGGCCACATGGTCCTATCAGGAGAGTGGACACTGTAATCGTCCAGCCATGCCCCACAGCGCTCTGAGAGCAGTGACACTGGGCTTGATTGTAAACACTTTGGTGTTCACCAAGAACGAGCTCACTGTGGGGAACCGAAGTTTGAACCCACAGCAGAAGCCTCTGCCCAGGAAAGCTGTGTGCTTGGGAAGGGACGAGGCGCTATGAAGGCTCTGAAGCCCCTTGGAAGAGACCAAATGGGGCCCTGGTGGAAGACTCCTCTGTGCTGGCAGAGAGCCCTGGGCCAGGCTGATCTACCCCCACCCTCTCCCTCAGAGCACAGACAACTGGGGGGAGGCAGCACCCCAAGAACAGGCTGGGCCATGGAAAAGGGTAGGGAGACCTTAGGCTGTCTGGGGCTACATGAGTTGGGGCCCACGAGGAGAAGGGCCCCATTTCACCCAGGACCCAGCGCCTTGGGGAAGGAGGAATGGGAGTGGGGCTGGGGGCGGGGGGGGGCTGTTCCAGTCCGCAGAGAAGAGGAGGAAGGAGCCACTGGAGAGGGCGATGTTCTCAGGGGAACCAGCCAGCTCTTCTGGAAGACAGACGGCTACTAGGACGCCTGGCAGGCATGATTAAAGCACCTGAGTGATTAAATGCATGATTAAAAACATGATTAAAGCAAGTGATTGCTAACCAGAAGGTCAAGGGTTCAAACCCACCTGCTGCTCTGCAGGAGATACTGTGATAGTCTGTGGGCAAAGATCCAGCCTTGTAAACCTGCGGGTGCGTGGCTGGAGTCAGTCACCTTGAGGGCAGCGGGTCAGGCCTTTTGGCTTCATTGTTTCTGTGAGCCCTGAGGAGAGACGCTGGCTTGTTTGCCGCGTGTGGGCCTGAGCCGGCGCTCCTGCGGTGTGTACTTCAGCCCGCTAGGAGTTCCTTTTTTTTTTTTTCTTGGAGTGAACGTCAGTTTTCTCTCCAGTAAGGAGACTGACTGGGGAAGGGAAGTGTGGGGACAGTGGGCCCAGCAGGCCTCTGACTCGGTCCTTTCCTGGGGCAGCATCGGGTCCTCGGGACAGTCCCCTGGGGAGTGAGCTTGATGTGCCCTCCACGATGTTGTCACAGAAGGTGTCGACTAGGGAGTGTGTCCTACACCTGGAAGAGGCTGTTCTTGTCCGGATTTAGTTTTGCTGTGTCTTTACAGGACAACATCCTCTTTTGGGTCCAGCGGGGGGTTCTTACTAGACTGGTTTTCATCCCCACTTTGCACCTGGGGGATGGAGTCCAGGTGTCAGCACTGGCTGACGTCCTTCTGCGCCCTAACTCTCTGCTTCCCAGGGAAGTTGTGTCAGGAGAAGGAGAACTGAGCAGGCTTCAGGGACCCAGCCCAAGACCCAGGCCTGCTGCGCTGGGGGTGAAAACTTAGGCAAGCCGAGTGCCTCCCTGTGCCTCAGGTTTTCTGCCCGTGAAATGGGGTGACCACTACTTTACGAGGTTGTTGGAGGTTAGCAAGAGGTGCTTCTGCACCGGGGTGCTGTGGGCAGGTGTGACTGAGGTCAGCTTCCCCAGGACACAGACTCGGGCAGGTCGCAGGAGCCAGGCTGGGAGGAGAAGGCAGGTGAGGAGTGGGAGGCGGTGTCCAGCGCCCTCAGCAGAGGCCTCCAGCACCCCGGGGCCTTGTGCTCCGGAGCTAGGGCTGCTGTGCAGGCGGCGGTGGGGGCAGGGCGCTGGATCCTGGACACAACATGCCCAGGGCATGTGTGACCTTGAACCAGGAAGCTCTCAGAGGGTCTCAGCTTGGGTAGGGGTGAGGGGCTTGCCACAGCCGCCACTACAAGGTGTCAACAGTGTTACAGGAAGATGCAGGATACCTGTGTGCAGACAGTGTCCGACCGCCCATGTGTCCGTGGTCCCTCGTGAAGCTGGGGACAGTGATTCCCAGCAGCACACGAGAAACTGTGTGGCAGTCATTAGCGCTGCTGGTCATCATTGTGAAGACGTTTTGGCATTTCTTTTATTTTTTTTTAATATATTTCTGTTTTTTGGGGGGTTTTGGGGTGTATGTCTCTGTGTGTGTGTGTGTGTACACCGTCAAATCGGATCTGGCTGGTACAGGAGGAGATTGTCCCTCCTTCTCGAGCAGAGCATCTGGTGGATTTGAACCACTCATCTCTGGGATTTCAGTGCAGCTTCTTGCCACTAAGCCACCAGAGCTCCCCTACATTTTGGCATTTCTGTAGGCGACTCTCTCACGTTTTTATGCTCTGGAAGGTGCCCTGCTTTCTAAGACAGGCACTTGACAGACGTTAGGTGTGAGCCGTTCTCAAACTGTCCGTTCACCCACAGATTCCACTGAAAGGTGGGCTTGGGAGTGGAGACTGCAGGGACTGCCTGAGTATGACGAGCTGTCCGCACAGTCTCCACATCGCGGCCCGTCTCACGGAGCCTGTGCTGGACGGTGCTCGGACTGGAGTGTCTTTAGAACAGGAGGGGACAGGTCTCCCTGGTGGCAGGGACCCTGTGGGCCCACCCCCCCCCGGGACCGTAGCACCCCGAGGAGGCCCTGTTCGGGAGGAGGTGGTCCGTGGCCTGACGTCACACCGTCCCCTTCCCTCGCAGGACGACTACAACCACATCCACGGAGGCAAGTGGACCGTGAGCAACCTGCGACTGTACCTGGAGAGCACACGCGGGCGCGAGGTCACCAGCAAGCTGTTCGATGAAATCCACTGGATCATCGTGCAGTCCCTCAAGGCCGTGGCGGTGAGTGCCACATGGAGGGGCGACTGGAGGGGCGCCCAGCAGGAGCGAGGGGAGAGCTGAGTCAGCAGGAGAGGAGGCTCCCAGCCTGCTCCTGAAATGCCCCGGCCCAGCCCTGTGCCCCCTAGTCTTCCAGGGTCCAGATGGCTATGGCCTCAGGCTGTCCCCGGTGCTTGCTGGCCGTGTCCCCTCCACCAGCAGCCTCTCTGGGCTCAGCTGATGTTCTGAGATGCGCCTTCAGCGGCTGCCCGGCTCCCAGCTGCCCTCACTCTGCTATTTTGTTTAGGGCTGGAGGGCCTGCGTCTCCTGTTTGTTTGCAGGTGTGAGGTCTGGCACATTTTCTGATACTAAAACTAGAGACTAAGGTACATCTGATACAGGCCATGGTCTTTGAAATCACTTGTTATGCATCAGAGAGCTGGACAATGACTAGGGAGAATAGAAGGAGAATTGATGCCTTTGAGCTGTGGTGCTGGAGAAGAGTATTGAACGTACCATGGACTGCTAAGAAAATAAACAGGTTCATCCTGGAGAGGGTTAAACTGGGCTGCTCTTTGGAGGCAAGGACTCTGAGGCATCATCTGACATACTTTGGACATGTTTCAAGGAGGGACCAGTCCTTGGAGAGGGACATCATGCTTAGGAGGGTGGAGGGATGTGCAGGAGGGGAAGGCCCTCTATTGGGTGGATTGATTCAGTGACTGGGGTAATCGAAGTGGGTGTGTCGGAGCCAGTGCGGTTGGCAAAGGACAGAGCAGGGTTTAGGGCTGTTGTACATAGGGTTGCTATGAGTTGGAGGTAACTCAACAGCACATAACAACAACAACAAAGTAGGTGCACATCTATTTCTGAGGGAAGGGAGCAAATCACCACCACCTGCCACCTCTGTGTTCCATTGAGGCCCTCTGGGGGTTTCATGTCCCCATGTGGCCTTTCAGCCAAATGGAGGCTCAGCCCACAGAGCCACGAAGGGGATGGTGAGAGTGGCCTGGGCTCACCCTGCCCCTCCTTGGGGAGGGGGGGCTCGAGAATGACCTCCCACCACGGCTTGGTCACATGGTTTCTGTCCTCCCTGTTTCCCTTCTCTCCTCTCTGAGGAAAGTGTGGCCTCCTGCCCGCAGAGGTGGACCCCACGTGGACTGGCCACGCAGGCACGGCCTTTCTGCTGTCCATACGAGCCAGTGACCAGCCAGCAGGGTGGGTGGGCAGGTGGGGGGCGGGCACCACCTGTTCTATTACTAAAGGAGCTGTTGTTGTTGTCATCGTTAAGTAGTGTAAATCAAAGACTACCCATAGAGACCCTGTGAACGAAAGTCTTGAACATGAAACTTTCATCTTTTCTCCAAGTTCATAGAGTTTATTGAGGCAAGCTTTTTTTTGGAAGTGGATGCCACACCTTCTTCCTCAACTGGAGATCCACAAAAAGCAGGCCCAAGGGCCACAGGCCTGAGGGCCCAAAAGCCTTTTTTAGTACAGGCCAGGTCCAATCAGCTTACACCCTATTGTGAACAACAGCCACACCTTAGTCTCAACCCCAAACCAGAAACACACACCTTAGCAGAATTCACTGGTAGAATTCAGAGATGTTCAGAACTGTCACCAAGTCCAGACCCCAAAACGCAGCCAGACCACCCTCTGTACTCCACACATGTGGGGCTAAGGGGCTGTGCCTGGCCCCACATCCCCAGTCAGAAACGTACCATGTTGCTGTTTTAGACAAAGTGTGATGGTTCCTCCTGCGGCGGCTGCTGTGAGACCTTTACAGAGAGCCTTCTCAGTGGGTCACGGAGGCTTCTTCTCTCGTTTGGACACGCTGGCCTGCCCTGAGCCCCCCAGTGACCACTTTGAGATGGTGACTGACTGGTGTTTGAGGAGGAGAGAGGACTCGAGGGCAATAGGGAACTTCACCCTGTGACTTGGGCTGAAAGCGGGGCTCCATGCGCGTGGTTCTGTCTCCGTGGTTCACAGCAGGGCTTTGATGGCAGAAGCCCGTTAAGGTTCTAGCTCGCCCCAGGCACAGCTTCAAATCTCTTCTTCCGTCCCAACCACCTTCGGCCTTTGCAGCCAGGATAGGGCATGAGTGTGGGATCCTGAGCTCAGACGAGACTTCGGGCTGGGTCACCACACCCCAGCTGGTGACTCTGGACAAGTGTTCATCCTTTCTGAGCCACTGGTACCTTGTCTGTGAAGTGGGACAATGCTGCTGATGTCACAGGAGGATCACGTGACAGAGGCTCTGTGGACATTGAGGTCACATCTGGGGAGGATTGAGACTGTCAGCTCTGTCACATACATGTGATTGTGTGACCTCCCCAGCCTGCTTTACCTTCTGCAGTGACTGAGCTCTCTGAGGAGTAGTTGGCTTTTTAATCAAGTCAGCCTGAGTCCTGGCCCACAAGGCTGGCCTTCTCCCGGCCAGCATCTCTGGCCTTCCCTTCTAGCCTCAGTTCCTCAGGCTTCTGCCCTGTTTGATTTCTCAGACTCAGAGGGCCTTTGGGGACTGAGTGACTTGCTTTTTATTCACTTGGCCAATCCTGCTGGGGTGGGGCAGACAGGAGAGTGAGGGCTGCAGTGCTGGGGAAGTGGCTGGGCTCGGGATGAAGTGGGCCCAGGAGCAGGAGGGCAAGCTGAGAGTGGCAGCTGAGGGCAGACTGCCCAGGAGGCTGGAGACAGAGCTGGCTCAGGGAGTGACTAGGAAGGAGCCCTGCTGAGGCCTCCTTAGCCCCTGGCTGCGATGGGCCAGGCTTCACGTGGACGTGTGCTCTCTCCAAATTAAATGGTGACCCAGCCCCACACCTCTTCATACTCTAGGATTCAGGAGAAGGTGGGAGTCATCTCTTAAGCTCCTCGCCTGTGAACAGGTCTGGCTGCAGTGTCTTGAGGGCCTGATGCCTGAGGGGCACTGAAGACTCCCCAGAGAGCGTGCACATCCTGCTTGCTGGGGGTGATGGGATGGGATAAGGGACTGAAGCGGTTTAGTGTCAGACTCTGCCTGACTTCTTAGGGACGGTGCATTGAGACTAGGGCGTCTTTCCTCCACTCCAGTTTTTTGCCAGATGTGGCACTCGGCTTTTCTTCTCGTTGGATAATCCATTGCAGCGGTGTGCAAAGCTCACAGAAATGCTTAGAGGTGGGATCCAGGTCAAGGTCAGGGGCAGGCAGCATGCAGGCAGTCTCCCTTCAGCAGGACAGCCCTCGCGGCCACTGTGCAGACCTCTTCTCTGCGCCTGGGGACAGGCCCCTCTCAGCCCTGCCATCTGTCATTGCCAGCCCTGGCACTGGGCCCCTTTCAGGCCCTTGACCCATGGTACAGCTCTTGGAGGATTCTTATCTCTGCTTCCTCTTTCTTCTTTTTTCCTGGTTCCTTCTGTCTCAGAAACCTCTGTGGATGGCACTCTCACCAGGGCTGTGAACTGACCAATCCCCTCTCAGGAAACTACACTTAATTTACATAGGAGGCTACAACTCACCTCACTTGCATATGACTTTGATCAATCCTTGCAAGGTGCATGCCAATCACAGAAAGAAAACACCATCACACCACAGTTGATTACAGCTTACCAGAAAATCAGTCAGCCTGCATGAAAGTAACACATCCTCTGGGCTAGAAAACTAGCATGGAGGCAGCTCCACAGGGCTTTGGACGGAGAGCTGTCAACTTCTTTTTCCAAAGATCTGAGGCAGAAGCCCACAGGAATGAAGACAGGAGTTGAACACTGACCTCTCCTTGAGGTGGGATGGAGGAGGGCGCAGGAATCTGTGTTGCATGTCCCTGGCAGCCAGGGCTTGGCTTTGTTTCAATACACTTAGAACACAGCGAAGTGGAATTGAGGAAGGAAATTCAGGGTTTCTTAAGTGGATCAGCAGTTTTCTGTGAGGAGAAAGGTCCCTGATTTGATGCTCTGGTCCTTAGGAGCCCCCGAGTGAGTGACGGTCTAGAGCCTAAGAATTGAATGACAGTCTGGAGCCTGTGAGCGAATTGACAATCCAGTGATCGTCCCCGACTACCTGTTAGAGGCAGTACGACATCAGCTCAAGTCCTGAGCCTGGGCCTGGCCCCATGTGGCCGAGGTGGTCACCCTGGGCCTGTGGAGGGGGTCACTGTTGGTTGACAGCTGTGACGAGTGAGGTCTCCGGATGGGTGATTGTTTCCTAAATTCCGTTTGTGAAGTGAGGGAAGCATTCCATCTCTGAGCATTCAGGAAGGAAAGGGAGGCGGCCAGCTGGTCATACTCCTGGAGGTGGGGTCCCTGCGGTGATGCTGTCACCGTGGCCTGGGGCGCATGTGACCCACCGCCGACTCTCTCTGCAGCCAGTGATGAACAATGACAAGCACTGCTTCGAGTGCTACGGCTATGACATCATCATCGACGACCGG